TATATATATGTGCATATATGGTGTTGCTTCCCCTTGTTCACAACATTCCTCCACCCATTATTGCTCTCCCCCCACCCCGAAACATTGACTCTGTTCATACAATATACTTACCCATGGTTAATTGAACCAGACGTTTTCAACTCACACAATATACTCTGTAATAAATCAACCAAATTTTTTGCCCGTCCTTGCCTTGATCCATGCCAAAACCAGTCATGCATGTCTCTGGGTTTGTAGATTCTGTACTTGAAGTGAAATATGTTTTTTGTTTTCTACATGCATGCTATCCTTGCCTATACGTACCTATATGTAAAACATGTTATGTGATCAGATATGAGGATGGGAATTGCAATCAGAGTCATAAGATTCTTGGCTCAACAGAACAAACAATTCTCGTATTTCATTTTATTTCCCATCTCCCCACTCAGCTTTCAGAAAACCAGTTGAATTCCAAAGGAATATTCATTTAAATCCATCCTTTGTGCCAGACCAATATTCTGCTATATTCCCAGTGACTGGGGTTTCTGTTCCTATCCTAGCAATTTGTGACCATTGAGGACACATGGCAGTAGAGCTGTTGTTTCTCTCCCACCCAGAGTTATGGGGCTTCTGTTGAAGAAAACACTTGTGCTGTGTATGACAGGTACTCACATTTGTATATTTGCTGTCCCATGTTCTGTCCAAACCACTGTACACTAATTCTGCACAGCCTGTAAGGACATCTCTTTAATTTGAATAAACCTCTTTTTAAAACTTTGTAACATGATAGGAATGATGCTTATTTTGTCACTAGTCTAGATATCTTTCCTCTACAAATCCAGAAGATTATTTATTTAAACAGGGTTTTTGTATTTATAAAATACCAATCCTGCTCTTTCAACATTAAAAACAATCCCAAAGAATAATACATGTAACAGTTTAATTTTTTTCTGCCAGTCAAGTTGAACTTGACTCTCGGTGATTACATGGATATGTCCATCTTGTTTTCTTGGCAACAACATAGACGTGATTTGCCATTACCTTCTTCTGGGACTTTTTTCCATTTTCCAATCTAGTCTACAATCTTGTATTTCCTGATGATTTCCCAGCCAAGTATTTCAAATCTGAACCTGCTGAGCTTTTTCAGGATCCACATTAGACCATGTGCTGCTGCTTGCTGTGACATGTCATAATGCTGCCTTATTTGGGAGGTTTGAGTCTGTTTTGCTCCTTAGAAGTTGGACATCAGATCTGGCCTTTTCCTTCCTTCCTTCTGAGATCAAGTTAGTATGAAACAATGACAGTAGAGCATATACTGTTGTTGGGAATTTCTGGAAAAGAGCTTTTTTGAAGAATGGCTGCTACAAAGAGGCTTAACTATATCAAATACAGAGAGAAAGATAAAGAAAAAACAAAAGTCACAAAACAAAAATTCAGAAACAAGGCTTTGTATTGGATAGAAAAAAATCATTCAAACTAATTTTAAAACAAATCATTAATCTTGAGGTAGTGTTCATTTTTACCCATTCATCTTTCTCCATGGGTTCATTGGAATTTCTAATAATCCAATTATATCAATATTAATCTGATATCAACAGTTGGATATGTTTCTATCTACAAATACAGAAACTTTCTTTGAAAGAAATATTTCCAGGTATTTAAGAAAAACCAAATACCAGATAAAACTCACTTTTACAATTTTCCGTAAGTACAATAGAACCTATGGAAAGTATAAGAGCCTTTCTTAACTTAATTAAATACCCCCATAGTTTACCATATTGTTGTACTGTATCTATACATTTTGGTATATAGAAAGTATTTATTATTATCCATAAGACTTAAAATTTATTGAAGAAAAAAAAGAGGAGGAGGAGGAGGAAGATCATCCATGGGGTATCTGAATAGGTAAAGAAATAAAGTTTAGGATAAGACATTGTAATCTGATTAGTGAAAAAAAGTAGCCAAAAGTTGCTTCAAAAAATTAAAACTTCTGATGCTTCTGATTTTTTTTTTCATTTTTATCAACAATTTCATTTATTGTGGCTGGTGTGGGTCTTCCGGGCTGTGTGGCCGTGTTCTGGAAGTTTTGTTTCCTAACGTTTCGCCAGCATCTTTCATTTAATAAATTTCATTTATTGACAATGTATACTTAAAATGTAGATTTATAGTTATTCCAAGGCTTGTTGCCCTTTTAAACTAGACTGTACACAATGGATAATCAAAGGTAATATCATTTGTAGTCTGCATGCCATGGTCACAAATTTGCCATCAACAATTAGCAAGAAGATTGGACAATAGTTTGCAGTCAGTAAAATCTTTATCACCCTTCAAAATCACAGTTACATAAGCTTACATAAACATGAGAGGAAATTGGGACAAAGGCATCATTATAAGCTTCGAATACAGAAGCAAAAAAATCAGTATCTATCTTATTCCAGTCAGTAGGATAACCATTAGTGCTGGGGGCTTTTTCTGTTTTCATAGATTTAATAGCATCTATTATTTCCTGAAGAGATAAAGGTGCAGCTAAATAAGCTGCTTGATTATGAATGATCTTTGGAAGGACTATATCATCTTTAAAAATATTAATTTCTTTCTTAGTAGCCTTTGACTCAGTATTATAAAGTCAAGTATTAAAAAAAATGCTGATTTATAAGATCAGAATCATTACGGACTTTGCCCTGAGCATCCTTAATAGTAGAAATAGTTACTTTGTTGTTCCTATTTCAATTGAGAGGCCAATAATTTACCAGTTCTTTCCTTGTATTTTCAATAACTCTGTTAAACAAGAACACAGTTCAGTGAATATTCTGTATCCAGTGCATAGAGAGAACTGCATTCCAGTTACCACACATAAATGCTGTATGCAGTTCTGGTACAGATTGTCTTGTGTGTGCGCACACACATACATATTTCTTTAACTTTAAACAGGGATTTCTTTTTGCTGCCACCTTGCTTGATAAATCTATAATTCCTCACATAATACTAAGTTCCTGCTATATAATTCAAAAGCACATTCACATCTTAAACTGTATTGTTCTTTTTAATGCCATATTAACAAATGTACGGATACCAAACCTAACCAGGGCAAAAATAATCCAAGAAGAGGCTTGTCTCTTTATAGAATACTGTAATGACAGTGTGGGCAGTCATAAAACACTTATTTATCAGGAGGTGAGTTGAGGAGGCTTGCCACCACGCCTTCTAGACCCACAATGTGCTGCCTGCTTACTTCAATCTTTATTCTGAGTAGGTGGGTATAACCTTTGCCAAGTGTCAGCAGTGAGCAGTCACTGCTGGTGACTCCCCTCAAATTAATCTTACTGACAATTGATGGCAGAGTTTTCTGCTGTTTTGGATTGGGAAGCAGAAGAAAACTGTAATATCAAGGCTAATAGTCAGGTCACCACTGAAACGCATTGAAACTCCTCCTCCCTTTATGGCCTCAGCTCCTGAAAGGAAGAATATGATTACTGTATGCTAGAACAAGGGAACTAAGTTGCAAGCAATTGGCAAGTTAGAATTTTCAGCTTAAAATCCTAACCTGGCAATAATAAAAGCCACACCAAGGAAACACGGATTCCCGTTTCATTCTAGCCATGTGTATTTGCCAGTTTTGGTCACTTTATTCAAGGTGATAAGTGCCCGTGCTTATTACACAGCTCCCAAGCAAACAGCTTCACAGGAGAAATACTGTACTACTTTTTTCCCTTCTAGCTTCTTGAAAAGTGGCTGTGCCCTTAAGGTCTAAATAAAGCAGTTCATGGGAGCTTCACAGGCACACCTTCAGACAAAGCACTAGGTAGCAGCCCCACAACATTTGATGTCCTTAGAATGTTTCTGGGGCCCATATGGAACCCACAGGCTTCTTAAAATAAAGATGATACGAGGGGCTGGTACTTCACTTTGCAGTGGGGTAACTTCCCATTTAATTTGTTTTTAAATCTAGACATTATTTTAAGGTCAGGTGCAGCAGGGAACTCGATGCATGCCATACAAGTGTCTGCAGTTGTATGCTCATGAATCCAGTCTTAGAGGCACTTCCACACAGCCACTGGTCTTGCTCCTCAAATGGCAGCCAAGCTCTAGCTTAGATCTTTCCTCACTGCATTTGCTTTCTACAGTGATTTTTTTAAAGGAGGAAAAATTCAACTGGCTGCTGTCCAGAGGTTATAGCACAGCCATCTCTCAGAGCAACTGGGAAGGGTGGGAAATGGTGGCAAGGCGTCATGGCACCTTGGCTTGAAGGAAGGAGGGGGAAATCCCAGGAGGCACATTAAAGCAGGCCTTCCCAGCAATGGGGAACTGTGTGCTCCTCAGCTCCAGAGGAAATGCGGCAAAGTTATCTTTGTACTGCTTCCTTTGAAGCAGCATCTCAGTCGATGATTGATCAGGTCAGCTTTCTAAAGCTCACGGAAATCACGTGGCATCAGAAAGGGGGAGCACAGGGCAGATCCAATTGCTGCAATCTTGCATAGGAAAGGAGCTTCAGGTACTCTTCCCACATTGAAACAAGATTAGGAGCACCATGAATGCACTAATCTCAAGCAATTTGGTAGCCACTGCTAGCTAAGGCCATTTCCCTACTTGTGATTTATATTGTCTTCTAGCATTATGCAGCCTTGTTGAGACAGCATGTGTATCTCATTAATGTTATATCCGCACAGTGATGGCTGGATAATGCTAGAAGTTGCTGTACGTCACTAAAGTCCATCCTACTTCATTTCTGGAATCCAACTCTAAACAGCATTGTCACTTCTATGGCTCAGAAAGAGAGAGAGAAAAAAGCAGAGCCCTCTTTTGGGCCATTTTTGTGCAATCACACAAAATGGATCCTCACTCTATTTTTTTATCTTTTGCTTGTAGCTCTTTTAAGCCTCATTCGAATGAGTCAACACGCCCCAACTGCATGGAACAGCTGCGAACAGCGGATTGAACACAATGTTGCTTCTTCACTATAAGACAAAATGAAAGAGTTTTTTTCCAGAAGAATGTATAACCACCAAAGAACTATCAAATACTAAAATAAAATATTCAGAAAAGGGCAGAATAGAAGCTTGGGAGTAGCTTTCATTTAGTGAACGATGTACAAAATTAAATAAAAAACATAGGGAGCATAGGAAATAGTCAGAAGAAATGCCAGAGACATTCATAAAAACCACATGTGCTTGTTTTCCTAGGCAGAAGCCATTTTCTTAGCTTATTTTCCTACGGAGAAATGATTGAGTGGTTGGGGTTTGTAATGGCCATACAAAGAAAGGGCCACCTGTGGACAGTGTGGAACAAATGACTAATAAGAAATACATATTTATTGCATAAAGAATAGTTTTGCAGAAACACCCTGGATGTAATTATTTTATTAATCTGAAACAAAATACATAGTTCGAAGATATTAGCCATATGGTTATAATGGAGAACTAGAATAGGCTATTTTAAAGCATCTGTACATATATTATAGACCAGCTTTTCCAATTTGGTGTCCTACAAGCATGCATCAGCCAGCCCATGCTGGTCCCTGCCAGTTTATTCAGCTAAGAAAAATCATTATGAGATCAGCTTAGCCTGTACTAAATATCCCCCTGTCATTTTTCACACTGAGCAGTGGAGCAACCAGTAAAAGAAAAAAGTTATTTTTCCTAGGAATACTTCCATTACTCCCAGCTATAAAATTGAACCACATATATGGGAAACTGGTATCCAATTTGGTGTCCTACAAACATCTTGCATATTTCAGTCATAATCCAGCTCTAGTCTCCTGTAATTGGTGACTAGAGGCTGTAGCATTTATTAAGGGACATAAGAACCTACCTTATATGCACCATTATTTTTTGTAGTCCATTACTGTTGACACTGCTGGACATGCTTCTTCAAAGTTTCAGGAAGGATCTTTTTCCTGTTCTCTTCATGGATTCTATCAAAACTTTGTAGTAACAAGCAGGTATGTTTGTAGCAACAAACACCAACCAAACAAGTATCCCTGAGCTCTTAATTAGTAAAACTGATTAAGAAAAGCATTAAATGACAACACAACAGTTCCAACCATTACATCTGCTTTCAAATGTGAACCTTATATATATGCAATTTAAAGCAGTTAGTTTCCAGCTCTCTTTTTCCATGGTTTAAATGGAGGGGTGATAAAGCCTATTTCTTCTGGAAATGTAAGCTAGTCTATACCTGGACAATGGCTTACAAAGGCTACCTGTGATAAATTCTGAAGATAAAATTCCTCTGGTTTATGATTGTATCAAGAAAAGCTTTTTATAGGTAGAGTCAGGAAATCAAGTTGTATTCAGCATCAACAAATTAGGAATGGTGTAAATTCTATCTTTTCTTGCTCATGAGAGCTTATATTATTGTTGGGGAGGGGGAAAGGAATGAAATCCACAGACCTCAACGTGACTTCCTCTAATTTTATCTATATTGCTTTTCAATGCTATGACAACTTTTCCTAACCAGCTGTCTTCCAGATTTTTTTCAAATATGATTTCCATTGCCGAATCATCATAGTTGCACTAGCCAGGGAATCAGAGGGTTTGCATGGCCCAATTCAAGATGCTGGTTTTGCTTATTAATACCTTTATGGTTTGGCTCTTTGCTACCTCCAGGACCATTTCTTGTGATCTCCCACAGGATATAAATGGAATGGCATTCATAGGCAGAGCTGCTCAGCTCTGGAACAGCTTGCCCTCCCCAAGATCAATATATTCCCTTCAAGAGGGCAGTAATTGCTTTGCTCTATTATGTGGGGCAGTGACTTTTGGATGGTGATTGATCAAATAACATGTTGTTTATAGGTGTTGTTGCATTGTATGGTTTTAATGTTTTATGGTGCAAGCCACCTAGAATCTTTTGTGGAGGCAGAATACAAATAAATAAAACCATCCATTTGAAAAGAAGAGCAATTGTAAGACGTTTGTATCTGTTCTTCCTGCTAGAAAGAGTGCTTAGTGGCCCTGAAACTGGAGAGCAAAAGGAAAGCATACTCTGGCCCCATGCATCAGCTGCGTGACAAAAATCTGCTGAGTTGTATTCTGAGTGGCTGGTGTGGGTCTTCTGAGTGTTACATATTCATTTTGGGATGGGTGTGCTGCCTGCCCTCTCTGTTGAGGTGTCCTTTCCTTATTATCTTTTTTTCCCCCTTCAGACTTAAAACATAATCTCAGTAACCCAGGGATCTCTAGAGATCTATTAGCTTTGCTGCTACCACCCACCCCTTTTCTGGTTTGGAAATTCTTTTGTTTTTCTCCTCTGTTTTTTTATATACATCATAATGTGACTAGGTGGAAGGTACAGAACAGCACAGTCACTTTGATCACATTTAAATAAGGAATCATACTGACTTTTATTCAATAATTAAAAATGGGTTGTAAATAGGTTCCCTTAATATTGCAAAGTATTTATAGGCTGTTAATCCTCTCTTGTACTAAATATATACTCATAAACCTGTAACTCTGATAGATAAAGGTTTTCTTTGGGCTATGATTTCTCTCAGACTCATCCTTCCAGCCACATCTCTCAAATCCATTTCTTCTCAGTTCCCTCCTCCTTCCAGAATATGAACTGGGAGAAGGTGTCTTACATTACTCTGCTTTGACTGGTAATTCTACTACCCACTCATCACAAACTCCATTAACCATTGTTTATTTGCTATGTTTAGGATCATTTACATGAAGGGTGAAGGAAAGCTTTTTAGAATAAATACATTAACAAATGGCCATGGTCAACCAGGAAGTGTTAAGAAGAGACAACCTCAAATATAAGAAACATAAAAAAGTAATAATGGAATTCTTCTCATCCATGTGCTTGCTTTTGTTGATGTCTCTGATAGAAGCAGCACTTAAACAGTATAAAAAAGGTAGGGAGCCTATCTAAAATCCATAGCCAAGCTCCAATTCCCAACACCCAAGGCGCTTCTAAAACCTTAACTAACTCAGGAAGTAACTGTGGAGAGATCTTAGTTTTCTGCTTCTTCAGGGTTTTTAATCTATTGCAGGCAGAACTTAATAAAGGAAGAGAGATCAGAAGTGGTTCTTGAATTCCTTCTTAAGCTTATAGGTATACTTTCTTCAAAATTTCAGCCAGAAGATTCAACATAAGGCTAGAATTCTCTTTTGACCTCTTCTATGCCTTGTACATCACTTCAAAGTCAACACAGGTTATACCAAGTGTTAACTATTATTTTTTATATTATCTCAGAGATGATTGAAGAAATAAAGAAAATCAGGAATCCAGTTTAGATATGTTGTATAGCACATTCAAGTGCTCATATTAAGTGAAGAATGATATGATCTCCTAGAACTTCTATGAAAATAGGAATGCAGCTGTATCTAACCTATTCTATTAACGTTATCCTATGAAGTATATTCATGCTGACTACATTCAATAGACAGCAAAAAAGAAGCAAAAGGAGAGAGAAATTCATCAGCCCTTTACAGTTGGTGAGCTGTTTCTGGGGTGGGGGGTGGGGTTCAGGTGTTGTGGAGGAAGGTTTTATGGTGGAAGATGTGAGACAACACCTGCCCGCCCGCCCGCCTGCCTTTTTTGCCATAACCTTCTTCACTTTTATTTATTAAAGAAAAAAACAAAGCCATGCCACCAACTTTGGCTGTTTTGCTCAGGTAACTCCAGCAGTCACAAAACAAAAATAGGGGCTGCACAGACTACATGGAGCCTGTGACTATGTATGTTCTGCCCATCCTGATTTAAGAGAAAGTGGAAGAAAGAAGGTGTCCTATGCGCATAAGAAGAGAAATCTGTTATCCTTTATAAGGTCACTTTGCTTTCCTTGTTGTAGAAAAGGAGTTTCAGCAAGTGCATTCCCTGAAGAAAGAAAGTCGTTGCTGTGTCAAACGAAAAGCCTATCAAGTCCAATATCATCTTTTTCCAAGATATGCAGGATGGGGGCGGGGGGGAGTAGAGGTAAACAGGACATGAGGACAACAGCTATGAAGAGACTAAGAGCTATTTGATCAATTTCAATTGCCTGAAGAGCACTTGAAACAGGAAACCTTGCACATTATTTTTTAACCCTCAGTTAACCTAATCAAAGCTGATCTCAAATTGATTGTTTTGTTTCCTCATAGCTCACATGGTTCCTTCTGCATTCTGTGATATTTTCCCACACGTTCTTTTCTCACATATTTTATAAAACAATATTTATTTTATTTATATCCCATCTTTCTGCCATCAAGCATCAATTGGCATCGTTTCTTCATTTTCACTGCATATTGAATAGTCTTTTTCTTATATTTACATTTGACTTTGAAAATATGTTTTAATAGATGAGAAAAAACTCCTTGAATATACTAACAAAGATATTTCAGCATAATGACTGGCTACAGACATCAAAGACTTATTCCAGAGAGTGGGTCTTTGCAAAACATTGAGCTTTGGACATGTCATTTGCCCATGTCAAGCCCATTGTCCTGCAAGAATGATCAAAGTCTAGATTTGTGCTGTGATTGTATTCAGCTGTGAAACACAGCTAGGAGTCCAGTATATCAAGATGCTATGTTGAACTTGTACTGAGATTTCAAAAGCCAACGTATTAAACAGCAAGAGAGAGAGAGAAAGAACCCTATAACACCGCACAATCGAGTGGCCAATAAGCAGATCTTCTCCCTCTGTGCACCAACTGAAATTATCTATGAAGTGGAACCACTGTAAAGCAGTGCTTTGGATTCCCAACCTTTGCAGGTGGTCCAGACAGATACCATGGTCAATGGTACTTAATGTCACTGAGAAATCTAGGAAGGACATAGTCCCCCCAATTCAGGTCCCACTTCAGATTATCCAGCAGTGTGACTAATGTGGTTTCTGTTCCACGACCAAGTCAGAACCCTGACTGAAAAGAATCCAGATAAACTACTTCCCCTATCTGAAGAGCAATCAGCTTTTCCACAACCCTCCCCCCAGAAGGGAGGTTAGATACTGGATCATAGTTGCCTAATATTTATGAAGCAAGTACTGAATTGTGTTTGCTGTATTTAGGATCACTATGCCTGACACACTTACAGAATTTGTTTGAGACACGTTTGCTGGTTTCTTTGAGGTTTTTTTAGCATATATATCTTGTTTTTGTTTCAGAAGGTTCTCTACTTGTATCCCCCTCCATTATTCATTTCTGATCAAATGTAATCAATTATAATATTTATTGCAATCAGTAGGAAATAAAATTATTTCACACATACATACACACAGAGGCTCAATACATATACAATTGTTACTCATGAATCAAAGAATGAACATGGTAATCAATATTATTTTCTCTCAGTACATTTCTTTTCAGTAACTATAGAAGTTTAACAAAGTGAACATTTAGGAAAGGGCACAATTACAAATCTGTTTTGTAAGTAGTCAGTTGTTTTATCCTATCAAATCCCAGCTCTGGTTTCTAAGGTTTTATATTTGTAGAAGTTTATGGTGTCATTTCTCCTTTGACAGAATTACTGTATACTGCCTGCATTTACACAGCTGATCATCAACTCTCTCTGTGTGTAAGAGTCTTAACAAATAATTAAGGATTGTAATTCTGGATTATCATTGATTAATGAACAAGAAGGTCTAGTAACTCCTGCATCTTAGAAGGATGCTCTGCTTTTATGCCACATATGATCTTTAACTGGTCCATTTGATGACTATCCTTAGCTCAGGCATATCTTCACATATTGTAGTTCATTATAAATTAAAATCAGCTGTTAAATACAATTTTTCAGAACATAAATCACAGTCACCTCCAGATTGGACTACTATAATGTGTTCTACAAGGGGCTGCCCTTGAAGAGTATCCGGAAGCTTCAACTGGTGTAGAATGTGGCAGCACGGGCAGTTATATGCACTCCTAGAAGAGCACATATTACACCTCTGCTTCACAAGCTGCATTGGCTGCCAATTTGCTTTCAGGTCCAATTCAAGGTGCTGTCTTTGACCTTTAAAGCCCTTCATGGCATGGGACCAGGTTATCTGAGGGATCACCTCTCCCCAATCACATCAGCCCGTCCCATTAGATCTGGCAGGGAAGGTATGCTATGTGTTCCAACAGCCAGGAACTTGCATGGATGGGTCCCAGGAGGTGGGCCTTCTCTGCCGTGGCGCTCTCCTTGTGGAACATTCTCTCCACTGAAGTTAGGCTCGCCCCTTCCCTGCTGTCATTTAGGAAGTCCCTCAAGACCTGGTTGTGTCATCAGG